CCACCCCCAAGAATAACATCACTCCCCTTCTCCGCAACAACCATCACCCCAAACTGGGGATTAACACTCAACGGCTCCAACAAACTCCCATCCACAACCCACAACCCCTTCACCCCCTTCACCCTTAGCCCCCCATCCACACACCTCCCAATCCGACACGAGCTCGAGAAGTGATTCACACTCCCCCGTGCATAGCGACTCGCCGTCGTAATATACGACCTGATCTCCTCCACAGAACTCCCTTGCGGGATATTAAGCGGTGTGATCCCCGCGCCCGGAAGGCCCTGGAAGATTTTATGGATGAAGGACGCGATTTCTAAGCCGTCGGTGGGGGAGGAGTAGTATACATTCCCATCGGGTGTCGCCTTGAAGTCTGGCGCGGAGAGGACGACAGAACCCGTGGATTTGAGGCCCGAAGTACCGTAGATATTCAGTGTTATGGTATGGTTATCCATCCACTCCCCAAACCCCGCCGAGTCGACCGTCCCCTGGAAGACGGCTTGCGAGCCATCCGCGCGCGTGAGCGTGTCCCAGAAGACGGCCGTTTGGGAAGCGAAGGTGTACGGTCCGCTGCGGGAGGAGAGGTACAGGTCTTTATCCCCTGCTGGGGGCGCGTCGTAGGAGTAGGTGTAGGATTGGATTGAGGGGGAGGTGAGCTCGATGAAGGTGTTGGGGTTGTCGAAGAGGCCTACGCCAACGTCTTCGTTGACGATGAAGTCGCTTGCGGATTGGATCCCGGGCGCGAGTTTACCTGCATCGTGGAGGGCGGAGAGTTGAGCGACGGGTCCGATGCCTGAGTGCATTAGTAACCCTGGACTGGAGATGGCTCCCCCGCTTAGGATGACTCCCACGCCGTTCGCGGTGGAAGCTGAGAGTTGGATGAGTTTCTCCTGGCCGTTGAGCGTGGCTATGACGCCCGTTGCGCGGTCAGCGGTGCGCTCAACTCTCGTGACTGTGACGTTGCTCTCCAGGCGGAAATTAGGAAGGCCCAGTGCGACCTGCAGATATGTCGTTACGGGTCCGCCTCGCTGTCCATTACTGTAATCATAAATCGGGCGGCCAAAAACCTCGGTTTTGTCGTTGGCTGCGGCGTTGAGATCTACATCCTTCCACCCCATTCCATCCACAAGCCATTTCCTCGTTGCCTCATAGCCGCTTTGTAAGTACCTCTGTCCATCCATAGACGTTAGATTGGTACTAGGCTGCATAGCGTATAGTCGTTGTGTAGCATTCTTCATATCAGCGCTCTTCCACCCGGCTGGGAAGTAGAGGTCGTAGTCCGAAGATGGAGGCTCGAAGAAGAGACCGGCGTTGATGGCGGAGGAACCGCCGATGGTGCAGCCTCCGTAGGAGTTGATAGAGCAGGTCATGCCGTCGCCGGAGGCGAAGATGGATTTATAGAGACCCGGGACGTCGACTCGGGAGAGATTGGTGTTTTTGAGCCAGTCCTGGATATTGTCTGTTAGTTTATGCTCGATAATGAGGAAGGAGATGAGAGAACTTACGGGCCTACGAGAGTCTAGATCTCCTCCTGTGATGCCATATGAGGGACCACCGGCTTCAAGGAGGAGCGTTTTGAGACCTGCTTGGGCCATTCTTGTTGAGACTATATTGTAGGATATTTATTAGCCCGCTATTCTTATAACGAGAATAGCTTAACAGGAGATGGTGTATGAAGACATACCAATAATTCCCGCCGGCCCTGCTCCAACAACGATAGTATCCCATTTCTCATCCATCCATTCCGCATTTACTACCCCTAACAGCCCAAAAGCCGCCCCTAATGGAGATTTCGAGTAACGCATACCGTCTCGATTCTGAATATTCCGTACGTATTATTTCGAGCAGACAATATGTGTAGTCGCAAGGTATTGTTGAAGTGAAAGCAAGTAAACAAAAACAACGCAAGACACCAAGAGAATAATTTTAGTCAAGGTTATCAAAAAACCCTACCCGTCCACCAAACTGTGAATGTCCAAAAAGACCCAAAAAAAAGATAAGGAGAAGAACGAATGTGAATGGGTTATAAAAGAAAGGAACGAGCGCCAACACACTCATATAAAGAAACCAACAAATAAGAATTGCAAATGAAAAGGTACGGAGGGTCCCGAGTACGAGCACAGCGCCTCGTATCGTCAGCACTAAAGTCTAAAGAAGGCTTAAAAAAGATATGCAAAAAGAATGAATGGCAGGCAGGCGACACGAAGATCAGTGTACGTGTAGTGGTGTAACGATTCCCATGTACAAGTACCATACAGTAACGGGTCGTCGCCTTACACCTCAGCTACAGTAGTGACAGCTACCGACGCTTCTCGGGGGGGCGATCACAATGTTATACGGCGTACGAAACCTAATCTGGTGTCAACACGCGATCCCAAGAATGACGAGATGAAAATAAGCTCCATGAAGCATGATCTTCGGATTTCCATACGTTCCATGCTAGGGTACAGAGTATTATTACCCCCGTCACACATCTCTGTTTATCATCTAGGTATCCTCTCTCGCATCCAATGCCAGTATTCGGAATAAGTACAGTACGGAGTACATGCGTACGAGTAATGCTGACGACAAATCTGAAAAAAAAAAAAAAAAGATAAATATATACGATCACAGCATATGCACCCAAACCACTCCTCCGAACTCGTACACCCAAACTGTCAGAGACGACACCGCACCTGCCCGTATCTGCGCTTGTTTGATGTCGTTGATGGAAAGCAGGAATCTCCAATTTCGATGAATCGCCTTGGTACGAGGTCTTTTGCCCGTTACTTTAAGGTTTCAAACCTTAATTATTTCTGGAATCCTTCTGGTCTAAGCCAGCCGCAAGAGTCAAGACGAGGTCGGGGTTTCCACAGTCCACAGTCCACACTCCCCAGCCTCAACGAAAGTGGAGTGGGCAACCAAAACAACCGCCTGAGACAAAAATGGTTCTTCGAAGCCTAGGGAACGTGGAAATCCCAGCCAGGAACAGAGATTTTGGAAAGAGTGTAGGGAGGTAAATTTATGTACAGATCGCGATGCTTTTGATGAGTTGAGATGATGAGATGCCTCGCTTCTTGGTCGGTGATTGGTTCATCCGGTCTTTTTGCGAGAGCCGTTCTTGATTGCAGCGATTCGTTGTTGCTCTGCTTGTTCTCTTTGTGCTATTTCTTCGTTGAGTTCGCTGCCTGTTTTCCAGCATTCGGCGTGGAGACAGGAGGCGAAGAAGCATAATAAAAATAGGAATAATAACAAGTCCCTTCCGAGCGTTGACTTTGCACTCTTTGATTTCGTCATTTGAATGATATGCGTGTAATATACTTTGTATGTAGATGCTTGAGAGATGATTCCGGTAGGAAAGTATAGAAACTTCAAAATACGAAGTAGAAGCAACTAGCATTAATACTAGACATGGTTGGGATGAATAATCAGGAGTACCTCCTCATGAGCAATAGATTCCGGATCATGAACAATCAATTGCTCATGAGGAGGTCCGTAACACAAAGTAATTGTGATCCTGCGGGACCCGATGTTGTAACAATTTAGAGGCAATTAAGAAATACAGGCTTCATAGATGTCTTCCGACGACCTCCAGCTGGCGCCCGAGTCCCAAGGTCTTCTTCATCACCAAACGTGACTTTCTAAAATAGAAACAAAACGTGATTCTCTATGAAACAGTCGAGGTCATCCATGAATCACTTCCACATACAAGGATCATCAAACTACCCTGCCAAGCTCCGGGCAAGATACCGGGCCGACCCCGGCAAAAAGATAGAAAGAAAACAACCCCGCGAAAGCGGTGCCTTCATCCAGACCCGGCAGAAAGAATAAAATAAAAAGTTTGGAACCCACAAAAACCAATTTTTCTTCTGGAAGAGGTTTGTGCTCCATTGAAAAAGATGGAGACGAGGAGAAGAGGAGACATTTGCGTCATGAGATGAGCGGACTGTGCGAGGGTGCACATCTACCCCGCGATGGTATAGTGGGAGTCTGGAGGGGTTGTGTGTGGTATGATTATCATTCCTTTTCTTTTTGTTTTTCTTGAAGCTCGGGGGAGGTGAGGTGATGTGAAGGGGATGAAAAGCTATGAGTCAGTGACTACCGGTAGGATTGGGAGTATCGCTGTGAGTCGAAACTTCTATCCTATCAACCTTTGAAGGATTGCAGTTCATCCATGACTACGGAATTGAACCAGGGAAGAGGTCGAAGAAGATGACAGCTGTCAATTGTCTCCATTCAGGCCCGAGATGGGGCATGCGTAGGTACGTGATAAGACGTTGAGGTCCCACCGTTTGATGCGAAGCATACGATGATTCCACGAACAAGGAGGGGAAAAGGACTCTGCGGAGCCGTGATCGCTGGAGGTCTAGCTGCTCTGGTTGAAGCTGCAGTACTGGTGAGTTTCTGATATACACAGCTGGTTGTGACCTTCTCCTTTTGATTTCTCTCGCTTGCAGAAGTTGGGGATATGGATTTCTTTGGAGACAACTTTGCACTTTCGTACTGCGGACTTCTCTGCTCGGGACAACGGTAGACGGTGATTATGAACTTTAAAATCCTAACTTCTTGTCACTTACCGGTCAGCATAAGCCATTAGGAGAAAGAGGTAAGTAAGAGGGAAGCCTATCGGCAGCATCCGTTTTGATTCGGCATCGAGTCATTCCAGTAAAACCGATTCGTGGGACATCCATTACATCCAATACATCCCATATGCGTCACTCTATTTCGGGCCACTCATTGCCCTCCAAACTCACCCTCCAACCTTACCCTCCAACCTTACCCTCCAACCTTACCCTCCAACCTTACACAAGTAACGACGTCTACATACTTCCGGCTCTCCAGGCCGGGAGAGGTTCGTTGTGTGGTTCGTGCTACCCCCTACCCTGGTGTACCTGTCTGTATACCACGCTATGCTGACCGTAAGCTGCCCTCCGACCTAGCCCATAGCTCCTAGCTACTCTATGGGGAGCCTGATCTCGTCAACACCATCCCATACCATCATAGACCTCCTTGATATTAACCCCTCCATGAGAAAAACTTAGCTCCATGATTCCCTCAATTGCTCACCTGATGTACTCCGTACGTGCCCCTCTCCCTCGCCTCGCCTCGACAACCGCCGTAAATCTACGCGCTGCTTCTAGAGGGGCTGCTCTCTCCACCTCCCCCGTATTTACGTGGTTGAAAATCCGGTTGTGACGAATGCTAAAGCGACAACATGTAACTGTGGTCATTCTCAGCTCCTGAGTGGGAATCGTGATGGCGTGAAGTTGTAGCGGTGTAGAGGCCCAGCGGCCAATAGGACCGGGCTGGGCGAGTAGTGGCATCGGTGGGCCAATGCGGTGCTTGCGCTCCATGTTTTGGAGGGGTTGATCAGGCTTGAAGCCTTGAAAATCCCCCCAAAATCCAGGGTGCGCTCCGCTGCATTGGTGGCCTTCTGCACAGTACATACTGTGCACTCTGTAGTGCTCAGAATACTAAGGTTTAGGTGAATGGGGCCTGATGGGGCCAAAGACGCTGAGCGACTGCACTAACGCACGCTGCAGCGCAGCTATGACCACCTCAAGCACCGCAGGCGAACCAGCAGCCAGGAGCCATCGTCCAGCCCCTGCAAGAAAAAACGACGCTAAGCGAGAAATATTTCCTTGCTCCACCCGCGAGAACTTCACTTCTGGTCTCCTCCTCTTCAACATCCCACTCAACACCAACCCCCAAAGACAACGAAGTCACACTAAACTGCATCCAAAAGCACCCTCAAAACATCATACACTTCGTCGTCATCATGCCGCAGGCAGTCGCTGAGCTGTGAACGACCACTACGGGTGCGCCGACCAAGACGTGCCTGTAGTCCTTCAGCCCACGAGATTCCAATTCCATCAGATCGATACGACGAAGCAACAGACTCACATTGTGACTCCCGCATAGTAGGGGAGTACAGATAGCATCTCTCACGACCAGTCTGCGCCAGATACAACCAGTAAGATCGAGTTACGCTCTTCGCCATCTGGGCCATAACTCTGTTCTCCACCCGATATCTCCAACTTCTGCGATCGCCCCCCTCCTCTCCTCCAACCTCAATCAGGCCCAAGAGAGCCTCAACGACCCCTCCAACCCTTCCAACAACCTCAATTGAGGTCAGATACATCATACAAACTGTCCGCAGACACTCAGAACCACATAGGCAAAATCTGTCGTCATTATACCTTTTGCGACGATCGTCTCCAAGATTCACCGCCAATCTCCTCAAACTACCCCGCTATAAATAACATCAGCCACCAATTCACTTCACGAGAGATTGCCCAATATGTCGCGCAGTCTTCGACACAAGTCACCTCCCACACCACGCACTCCCCTCTCCAAGAAGTCGCGCCGAAACTCCAGGGCCACCGACATCTCGTCTGACGATGATTATGGTGGTGTCGATCTGATTTCCGACGATGATGAGAGCGAGCCAGATGTAGAAGGGGTCGAGGAGCAAGCAATCATTGATTCCGAAGCAGATGATGAAGACGAAGACGATGATGATGACTTGGAAACTACTCCTCGACCCTTTATAGACGAAGAAGAAACATGGGAGGGCTTCGGCCCGGACACAGCCGTCATTCCTAGTGGAACATTCTTCGATGAACATATCTCTCGTATGAATGCGCCAGATCATGACACAGAAGCTACCCTCTGGAACGCGACTGCCAGTTCGGTATTTACAGATACAGATACACCAAGTGGCCGTCGAGTCCACTTTGACTTGTCTGATAGCGAAAGCGACGACGACGCACCCAACGAGGATTCCTTTTACCCAGATATATTTGTCGATCAAAACAGCCTTGCGCCTAGCTTCCGCAGAGAAATTCACAGAGACATCGACGCCGATAACCGAGGTGGATTTTGGGACTTTAGTGATAATGAGACAGCCCCGGCAAAGAACGATCAAGATGATAAGGAGGATAATAGCGATTACTCCACCGGCTCAAGTGGCTACGAAAGTATGTGGTCTGCTTGAGGAATCTCAATTGGATATGAATGCTAACTTGGATGATTAGCCGATGAAGGAGAGACAACCGAAGAAGATCTACCCCCAGCTGCTAGCTTCATTCAAGCTCCTGGTCGCTCAGTCCTTCGTAGACTTTCTGATGCTTCTTCGGGGTCCGAGGAAGAGATTACTGTCACTCGTCGTCACTCTATGCGAAACCGTGGACCTGTACTTGCTTCCTGGGTACACGATCTTAGCAAACCTTTTGCAGTTTTGGACAGCCATGGCAAGAAGTTGATCATGTTCAAGGCAACCGTCAAGAGACGAGTCAGCTTCAGCGGTACTAGTAACCGTCGAACGCTAGAGACAGTTCCAGAGATGAACTCAGAAATGTTTTCTCCTGGAGATCAAATGTCACCAATGATCAGCAACTCTGGCAACATCATGCTCGGTGCAATGTCAACTTCGATTGATCAATATGCTGGTCTTGGCCCAGCTCTCGGTCCGCCGGAAGCTTTCCACCCTTTCACTAGCGTTGATGCAAACGGTACTATTACCCAAGATAGCATGGAATCTTGGGACGAAGATGAATTTGACGAGGATGAGCACGTATGGCGCCTTGACGACTTTTTCAAGTTCTCTGAAGGTGAATCATCAGATGATGAGGGTGGGGATGGAGACAATCAAGACCCATCTCCCTCAAGCGATGCCGCCGAACCAAGTTCGTTAACACCCAAGCGCCCCGTCACTGCTACCAGTGAAGATCAAGCACATCCGCTCCTAGACCATTTCGAGGTTAGGAACGTTGGCTCTTTCCGAAAAAATCAAAATCTCCATACCCAACTCACACGGCACGCAGTCTCATCTGATGCCCTTGCCTTCTCGGGTCCATATGGCGTTGGCACACTTAAAGGGATCAAAGGAGGACGACTCGCTGCCGCTAATTCGCCAATTACACCCATGCCTAGAGACCGCAATCTTGAGCTTTTTGCCAACAGTCCTAGCAGCCCTCTCTCCAAAGCTTCTTCCAATAACAAGAGGAAGTATGATGGTGATTATTTCAGCCACAAACGATCTCGCAGCGCTATGTGAATCGATTCCATCACGATCCGCTCTCCTCGTAAGATCAGTTCATATCTGGCATAGCTCGAATGTCCGAATGAATAATTGCGTAATTACGCTGAGGATGGCATATTGTCTCCATCTCTGTCACACCGGCGGAGAAGGATGGTATCCCTGGCCTCGCCCATTATATTCCAAGTGTGCACTTTTTGCTTTTCCGCTTTTGCTTGAAGGGATCTGCATAAAGTTATACACTCACCATGAATTACTGATGTTCATGTTTAATTCCTTTATTTCCTTCTACGTTCTTATTGTACCTTGTTCTGATGAATGTTACTTGATGCCTCGATCTGTTTTCTGACCTGAGATCTTTTCTTTCTCGTAGTGGTTGCTATGAATGTACCGGCCAAATGTGAGCGGAAAAAATAGTTTCTGAGAGTCTTTAGATGGGGAGGTCTATCAAAATTTTCGTTTTTTTTTTTATCTCCTTTGTTCTTTTGTTCTCTTTTCTGCTTTATTTCGAAGGCGAATATAGGAAGCATTCTCTGGCGGGAGAAAGTGTGTACGAGCAAGGTGTGAACGTGGGACCGAGGACGACTTTCAGGGGGGAGGTTTCCACATTTTTCCTTTTGGCGTGTGTTCACAACCGTATTCAATGATTACATGGCATGCATGGCTTATGGCGTTTTTGTGTGCAAGGCAAGGGCATGGAATGGACATGGACATGGACATGGGAAGGCGAACAGAAAATTTGTGTATTGGCTGGCAATTGCTCGATATTTAGAGTAGATTTTGCTTTCTCTTGCTTTTTTTGCCTTTACGTTAGTTTTTTCTTTTTCTTTTCCCTTTGTTCCCTGCGCTTGGTGGTGTCGCTTCTACTGTACCTTCTTTCTTGACCCGAAGACGAAATTATGAAGGGTGGGATGCCGATACGATATGATACTATACAATGAAAATTCTAAATTTTAAAATTGAGGTTTTTGGTGTGTGATGTTGGTGTGTCTTCTTGAGTAGAGGTTTGTGTTTTCATGGTTATTGTAACTCCTTGAACAACAGTATATGAATGTAGAAACCAATAGGAATACCGGACCTTGACGTATGTATAGCTTTTTCTGTTTTCGTGGCCCCTGTAACCCCCTGAACAACAGTATATGAGTGTAGAAACCAGGAATTCCAAATATTCACGTATGTATACCTTTTTGACGGCTCTTCCTAATCCAAGTTGACTGTTGGCAAGTGAGTCCGAGTCCTAACGAACCGATCCGTCGTTCTTATACAGTATGGTATGGTATATCCCTTTCTACTCGTAGTGTGTACAGTATCTCTGATGCTTTACTACTCGAGTATACGGTGGTGGTTGTAGAAGGGAAAGAAAGGAAAGAAAGATGGGATTGGGAATGTATGGTGGGATGTGGGTATATCTGTAGCTGTAGCTGTATAAGGAGGATGGTGGGTTTTTTGTTGTTGTTGTTGTATGTAAGGGCCTGTTTGGCTCACGGTCGTGAAACTTTTGCACCATATAAAAAACTTTGACATGCAATTCTTATATAAAAAGATTCGCAAGATTCGCGAGATTTACACCGGTATTTGTTCCTATACAATTGTTTTTAGCCAAATTAGCTATAAATCCGTACAAATCTAATTACAAAAGTTTTTAGATTTACACTACCAAAATAAAAATATAAAAGATATAAGACCTCAAACCTCTAGGGCCCGTTTAGCTCGCGAATCTAATCCGTACAAATATAGTATAAATCATAAACTTTTATATACGTCCTAGGACCTAAGAGCTTATATAAAAGTTTCCTAATTTACATATAATTTATACTAATCTAACAAAATATATGAACTACTTGTCACGAATCACGTGCTCACGTGATACTTGTCATAATAAAGAGGCGCAACCCTCGACAGGCACATCCAGGTTTCTTATAGCAAATAGGGATGCTTAGACTAGCTAAGCGATCCAGGGATTTCCTTCGTATCTTATCACGTGACTAGTTGGATCGACTGGACCGACGATCGGTCTGAACTTCTGGAACGACAGGACCGACCAGCGGTCCTGGCAGAGTACAGGAAAGTGAAGGGTCTATATAAGACTGGCACGTCTGCCATTAGATAGGAGCTTCGTGCTCAACTTAGTTATCAATCTTATCATATTAGTTTGACATCTTTGATACAAGTAACGAGTTCACTTCCAAGTGAACAACCCGATAGTCTTCTTCTTATCATAGCATACCAACCAGCGAACACCCAGCCAAGTTTAGTTAGCCAGTTTGAGTATTCGTTACAGAAAGCTATAGTCGCCTAGAATATATTTCCTCTTTAGAATGTGACCGTGTGGAGTGAACCACTGCTTGCTGTGATGAATACGGAGTCAAACGGAAACTGCTATATAGAGCGAACAACTAAGTGAGGAAGGAAGAGAGTTACAGAGGAACAGAAGCTTATATACAGGCTGCCAGCAGCACGCACGTGCCGTGCTGCTACACGTGATCTGCCCCCAATTCCTCCAACTCCGTAACATAGAATTCGAATAACTCCTAAATAAATAGTATATACCTATAAAGTTAAGTCTAAGGTACTACTCTCCTACCTAGATAATATATACGTAAATCGTATATTAAATATATAAACAGTTAGTACGTTTTAAGATAAGTTACCAAGTTTATCTCGAAAGGCGAATCTCTCTTTAGTATATAATATAATAGATATATAAGTATTATTAATCGCTCTAATATAATCTTTAAACTAAGGATAATTCTTAGGATTAAGTTCGATTTAGAGGGGTACTTACGCCTAATCTAATTATAGAATAGCGGAGTTATATATACTATTAGAAATTAATATTTATACTATCTTATAATAAGTATACTAGATAGTCTTAGTACTTGTATAATAATAAGTATTTATCTAATTAGAGAGTAAGGATTTATTTACCTTTTAAAGCGCTCTACTATTTTATATAAGAATAAGTCGCTTATAACTATATATAAAAATATACTAAGTTATTCTCTTATCGTTATATATTAAGTAGGTTTAAGTCTACCTTTTTATATAAGGAGGTTTTTAATAATATTAAAAGTATCCTAGGTAATATAGAGATTATCTCTTATACGTTAAGGGTGTTCTTCGATTATTCCACTATCTATTCGTCGCTATTTAGCTTCGAGGTATACTAAGGAATTTTAAGGTAATTATTCCGAAAATAATTAGCCGTAGCCTAGGCTCCTAGTATAGCGATATAATATACGAGTCTCTTCTTTTTATCTTAAATTTAACGTCTTTTCGATAGAGGATATAGATTACGATTATAGGGTAATATATTATAGTAATATATAAGGTGTTATTGGGTTGAAAGGGTATTGGGTACTGAAGGTCATGGAGAATTGATTGCATTGTAAAAGGTAGCTATCTAAGGTGTTTATATAAAGAGTGTAAGGTTTAGGCAGACATGAAGCATTTAGGCAGCAGAACTATAAGTGGATCAAATAAGGAAGTGGAGCAAAAGAGAAAGTAGACCCAGCACAACAGGTGTTTATTAAAGGGCCGCTAAGTAAGGCGGGTAGATCTAACTAGGTTTTAGTACTATCCTAGGACATAGAATTAAAAGATTTATATATAGATTTATAACGGATTTATAGCTAAATTAGACTAAAATAATTAGTCTTATCCAAATAGTAGCGTATATTATAATATGTATGTATATCGTGCATATTATAATATATATGTAATTCTTTTTATATAGTATATATCTTTAAGTTTGTTGAGCTAAACGGCTCCTTAACTCTTTTTAATTCCTATAATTCTCCTTATAATTCTTTTAATCCCACGTCCTACATCCTATAGGGCCTCCATATACCCCCCCGCTCCCTCCCCCACACCGTGTCCCCTGCTACAAAATCCCCTTATACAATCCCCCCATATTCTAACAGAAAGCAAAACTCGGCTAATTTATTACCGTAAAGCGTAGGCGTAAAAAGGAGGGGCGAGTTATTTTTTGTAGGAGAGGGGGGGGCTAGAATCGCCCCGTAGGAGGGATACTATAAGCTGGGGTAGGAGGGGTAGGAGGGGTAGGCAGGGGTTATAGATATATAAGATTTGTACTTGAAATAGAATATCTACGTTTGTAGCTAGCCTGGCTAAACAGCGGTGTATATGTTTCGTGATATTAGTAGGAATTGTATGTAAATCTGGAAACTTTTGCATGAGTCCTTGGGTCCTAGGACTAGTGCAAAAGTTTATGATTTGCACCACATTTGCACCATTTAAATTCGTGAGCCAAACAGGCCCTAAGTGTAGAGATTGAGAGATGGATGGATAAATGGATTGTGGTACTGCCCGAGGTTGGGTATATATGCGTGTAAAGCGCACTGGGTTGTTTGGAGGGGGGGGCGGGGGAAAGGGGGTTTGCGAGAGCATCTCTGTGTCTTTTTTTTTTCTAGGTTGGTGTTTGGGGTTGGGGTTGGGGTTGGGATTGGTTCTTTTTTGGGGTATCGGTTGTCGGGGTGTGGGGTGTGGGTGCTGGAGTTGTAGATTGTAGATTGTATATGGGTAGTAGATGGTTTATCGTAGAAGTCTGGTCGGAGAAGAGGGGGGGAGGAGGATATAGGGGTTTCGAAGGTGAATGGATCTTTATAAGGGCTTTTGGGGAGTTGGAGGGGAGGGGGGTATAATGGGCTGCATACGAGTAGGATAAGGGGTAGGGATATGAAGATGAGGGGGTAAGGGGAGGGGGGAGGGGTAGGTATTTGGTATACGGAGTAAGAAGAAGAGGGTACTTGGGATATTACGAGAGAGAATGTAGGAAAGGAGTAATTTGTATGGATAAATATACTCGTGGGCGAGATCTAGGGTGTTTGTAGGGTAGCTCTAGGTAGGTATAGGATCTAGATATATGTCTTAGTAAATTAGCGCTAGGAGTTGATAGGTTATTAATTATATCTTTATTTTGCTTTACTTTGGTGGAAATCTATTATCGTTGGTTTTCTTGTTTCTTTCTGGGATGTGAGAGGGTAGAGGGTGGGTGGTATGTGTGTTTCGTAGTTAAGGGGGGTTAGGAACTTCTGGGTTTTGTTAGATACAAAGTATAGAAGGATGAGGGAGGTGGGAGGGAGATGAGAGGGAGATGGGAGGGAGGTAGAAGGGAAGGGAAGGGAAGGGAATAAAAGAGAGATGGAAGAAATAAGGGAGATATTTGGATTACTATAATACTATAGCTTCTAAACCTCGTATATATGCATCTGGATTTTAGTATAATAGTATTAGCGATACCTACTTTAGATCTTGGTACTTTATAATACTACTCCTTAAGTGGTCCGGAGCAGGTAGGACTAAGGCCCATAGCGCGTCTAGGCATACTTCCGACCGGTCCGACTACTTGAATAGGGAATCGTAATCTTGAAGATCGAGATGTGTATATGAGGTTCAGGGGATAAATAGATACCCAGAAGAAATAAAGGGAGGAGAGAAAGAAGTAGAGATAAGGAAAGGAGAGAGAAGTTAATAGAGAATAGGAGAGGAATAGGGAAAGGGGAAGGAAGGGGTTTTGCGGTTGTTTTTGATTAGATTATTAGGGATTCTAGGGGGTTTTTTGGAGAATGAAATGGAGATTTGTTACTTACTACTAGGATATCGATTTAGGCGTAGGTTACCGCTGCTGTAATACAGATACCAATCTTGCAGCTACTGTGAGACCCGGGAGAATTATCTTATCCGGTAATATAGAAGGAATTTGTGTATTGTGTGGTACTATTGTGAGGTTTGGATACGGTTTATTGGTTTGGTTTGGTTTATACAGTATATTACATTACAGTAAGTGGAACTCAAATGGCTTTCTCATATATTTGCGTCCTAGAGTCTAAATGTTGATTAACGGGTTTCAGTAGTCTTTTTGTTTCATTCTCTGTTTGAACAGTACGGTGTATTTCCAGTCTTTTAACAAGAAATAGCTTACGTTGTTTGGTAAGAGGATGGATCACATTACTACCTATTATAGTTTTTTCCTCCTCTTTTGAGGCTCATAATGTGGGTATCTGAATATGCACCCCGCATACAGTACCCCACAATTCGTCTTGGCTGGTATCAAATTGGTTTTGGTACAGTACGTGCCAAGATAATAAATTCCTTCATTTTTGGAGATATTTTTGGCCTCAATTGTACGTTCTGGGTCTCGTTCAAGATTATGTGGAAGGGATACTAGCCTACCAGGAGTGCCTTTTAATTGTGCTTTGTTGTTCGCGTTTCTTGCTTGCTTTCGCTAGGCGTTACTTCTTGATTCATGAGGGGTTCTCCCAGACCGTAATATTTCATTCGTTAAAAGTAAACAAACGTTGGTTGAGGTATCAGTATGGCATTGCCGTCCTCATGACCAGATATATTACCTCGAATATTCGTACCGATGTACGAAATAAAGTTAACTCGCGAAGAACCCCAAACCATAAGCATTCGTTTTTTCTGACGTTGACTTCCTTCCTTCTCGCTTTCAATATGCGGGATCCAAGAAACTTTGTGGGGTAGCCCCTGTGTCACAACCTCAAAATTTCTGGGGATGGGACTTCTCATTGGGTCTGAACCTATTAGAGGGCAGCTATTTCTTGGTCAGCTTGGAACCCCTGTCACATCGAGTTGCTGCGGCTGCCTTTTTTGATAGTAACAAGAGATATGGCATATAGAAAGATCTACTTCGAAGTAGTGGCGATACATTACCAAGAATCTCTTGAGCGCTTCTTAGGTTATGCTTACCATTAAACTGAGCGCCTCGGGATAGACTTAACGGCGGCTTAGACGAGAAATGACGCTTCTTGCTCGTTTGACACGAAACTGGTCCACTTGATGGTCCATTGATGAGCGTGTTTCTTTGAGATCATGAGAGCAATGCCTTTTCTTGGAAAATGGAAGTTTCGTGGGGATGGAGATCATAGATCTCTCTTTTTTGTTTTCTAGGAAGTGGAGGTGGTGATCATTGTTTGTATAAAGACAGAGCCTCCCAAACGGTATCCAGAAAGGGCAAGTTGATTTTCACCTATTTACACCACCTCTATTTAACCACTTTCTCCATTCCTGCTGGTCGGTCAACAAAATCCTCAAAATGCTCTCTCAAACCAGACTCTTCTTTCTCGTCGCCCCCGTCCTTCCCTATCTCGCCTACGCAGGAAATGACAACGTCATTGAAAATGATAGCGCCAACAAAACAGGAGCCATAACATCCGCTTTCACTGACCCCCTATCAAATATAACATTCCAACGTTTCTTCGGCAAAAAATCCACATTCGCATTCGGCATCGCCCTCCCCACCAATACGAAAACCGACTTCATCGGCCAAATGACATTTCCCACACCCTCTGGAGACGGATGGGGCGGCATAGCTCTCGCGGGCGATATGGTTGGTCCTCTCCTGCTCGCTGCATGGCCGGATGGTGAGCAGGTCGTTAGTACGTTCCGTCAGGCTTCGAGCAAGTCTGATAGTCCGCCTGTTCTTGGCGGGCCTTTTCAGATCAAAGAGATCAAGGAGGGTACGAAAATCAATAGTACTCATATGCAGTTTACATTCTTGTGTCAGGGATGTCTGGGTTTGAACGGGACGTTGGGGTTTGAGGCTCCCGACGCCGGTGGGAATGTGAAGATGGGGTGGGCGCTTGCTAGTAAGAGTGTGACGACTAAGGGGGACTCGGCTAGTGAGATGCCTTTTCATGATAGTGGTATGCCTCCTTTCTTCTTGATGCTGGGTTTTGTGAAGGATGACCAAGGGATTCTGCGCTAATTGTTGGCGAATAGGTTTTGGTTTATTCACTGCCCAACTCTCGCTAGCTAAATCGCCTGACTTTGCGAAATGGGCGGCGCTCGCTACTGGAGGTGGAAGTGCGGCTCCAGTTGTACCTCCTCCGGCTGGATCCGCCACTCCTGCTTTTAAGAAACCTGTTCCCGTCGCTAGCCCTACGACGGCTACACGCCCGAAGAAAGGGGACAAGTATGGAAGATTGTGATGATCAGGATGATTATAATGATACCCGGTCGGACTGTGTTGGGATAAAAGTGTTGTTGGTGCTCTTTGTCAGGAATCATATGGGGCAGACACAACCTCTCTACCTTTTGTTGTATTCTTATGTTACTGTATATATTTAGAGATGATGTTTGATGGGAAGCGGGGGTGAATTGCCCCCTTGAACAGTTCTGAGAACTTGTATTTTAAGTGGGAAATGAGATTTTTGTTATTGGTAACACAACATGCAAGTTCAAGCAGAAAACAATTTTGTGGGGGCAGATTTGAGTGGGGTTAAGCGCAGGTGAGATTACACGTGCGTTCGTTGGAGCCAGACGCGGGTTAGCTTCGCTTCACGGTAACATTTGATTCTTCTTTTGAAGTTCTCGTGAGTAATGATTGTGTGTTGATATTGCTGGGAACTCGTTTATATAGAAAATATGGAGATTTGATGACTGGAGTGGATTGAGAACTAATTGGTTGTTTTGAGCGGCGAGCGCGAGTGTGTCTCAGGCAGTTCATATGTGTGTCATATTGGAAGAGTATCAGGGCTATAAAAAAGCCGAAAATCCTAATCACGGATCAGCTCAGGCCTATAGGTTGATAAATAGCAGCGATCTTACAGTGTTAGGTTCCTATTATCCGTTCGATATTCGACGCATAAGGATTTCATCTAATCCTTATAATATCAAGTACGCCTACTAAAGTGACAGAAAGTCCATGAACAACTGTAAATCCTCGACCTCTTTCTCAGCAATAGATGCTACTTTTTCATCAGCGTTTGAAGTATCTTCTTCCTCCTCGATGATTGGCCCTGGCCCAAATTCGTCAGGCGAGATATGTCGTGAGCTTGAATCCAAGGATAATTCTGTATCTTGTTCATGGCCGCTTTTCCCGCGTTTTGCGGTGGTTGTGTATTCGGTCGTGCTGGCAGCTCCGCAAGGGTGTAAGAACAACAATTCCAAGCAATACTCTTCCTGGCGATCCAAAAGTGATAAGTCGCTCGGGAAGTAGTATTCTGGCTGGTCATCCTGGAATGGTTGGTGGAGTATTGAATAGATTTTCTCCAGGTACACTGGCACAAATCGTCCGTACTGATCGTGGGCTTGGGGAAACTCCTGCGTCCATTGTTCAACTAGTCGCATATCGCTCTCCCAGTAACCATCGTCATTAGAGAATTCGATAATGATATGTCTTTTCAGATGAGCGGGAATCCCCAAGGGAAGCGACATCCTCATTAGTTGATAGGCGAGTAGGCCATACAGCTCCCCTTCGAATATGTCTTGCACTATGTCCGCGTTGACTACACAAGATGATATACCTTGCCATATATAGTTGACCAGTGTACCCATCTCAAAATCTTTGGGCATTTCCAGAATGTTTCAAACCCATCCCTAGCCCTTCTCCATCGTATTAGAGATGGATCTGCCATGTTGTTCAATAAGTTCGACTACCAAGCCTCCAATACCGTATTTTCCCCTATGGAACCAATCACCAGTCAATAAGAATTCTAGGAGATCTTTTCCGTGAATCACTCGGCGTACATACTCCAATGTATTCCGATTGAAGAGTAAGTTCCAGAACACTTTACTTTTTAGTCGCCAGTGTATAAGTGATCCTAGCCTTTTGATCTTAGGAAGTATTCATGACTTTTCCAATAATCCCCATGTTGAAGCCCCTCTATATACCACTCTTGTTGGGTATGCAGCAAATCTAATAGTGGTGTCTTCCTTCCAATTATATGGCTTAATGGAGTGATGAATAAGATATCCTCTTGAGAGAATGGCTCATGAGTACTGCTTCTCAAAATGAACCGGGCCAACTCAAGAAAGATTTGTACGTGGTATTGGTGTGTATTCATGCTAGTACTTAGGTGCCAGTCCATCATATAATACTCTTCCACTCGCATTTGTGTGTTAATGAAACAAAGCACCCCCATGCCGTCGTCAAATTCCATAGCTCCGGGGTCCAGTCCGTGGTTTGCCAGCTCCTTAAACACAGCAATAACACCTTTCGGATTGATATTTCGCGTACAACCAAAATTGAACATAGCTCTGGTCGCAACATATAGTAGTGATTCTCTCCCCCAGACGTGATCAAATGGTGAAGCCCGGCCACTATTGAAAAGTTGACGAACTGTCCGTAAGTCGCCTGTCCCGCATGATATTACGATCTTTGCGGTGCCCTCAATGACATTGTAGACACGTAGCCTAAGCTCAGGCGTTGATTGAAAAGACGCAAGTCCATATTTAACGGCCAAGCCGTAAACGCCAAATCGTAAGAGCTCCGGATTTGGACATAACTCAACGTAGGTACGAGTAACCGTGAAATATATAGGATGCTGTGCCTCCAAGAAGTTGTGACGATTGCGCTCTAGAAATGTTGTGGTTATGGAGCGCACCGTGATAACTCCAATCCGGCGTGTGTACTTTCTCGTTGTTCTGTATTGACCAATGGCTCTCCTGGAAGACCCACTTATTACGATTTGGGGGTTGTCCTTTGCAAAGTCACTAATGAAGTCTCCGCATCGATATCCAAATAAAATTCAGTGAGAACACTCCGAAATGTGATCTGAACTATTTGCGACATTTCACCTGATAGGCCACGCAGTATATCTGAAGTACATGTCAGGTTCTCCACCGCTTCTCTTGTTTGTCGTGTTGTATACCGGACTTCCTCGATCGCACGGAACGATTCAGAGAACATACTTGTAAAGGCGTTGAGTCTCTGGGTAAGTAGGGGGATGAGAATGTTGTCGATAGCCGTGTGCAAATCGTGTCGTTGACCAGAGACTTCATTTTTGATAGAGTCAACAGTACTGTAAAGGTTTCTCGTATCTAGAGCAATTCTGTCGAGGTACGAAGGTATTCTTTCAATGGTATCTGAGTTGATTTCGTTTTGTGATGTCAAAGTTTCAAGCACTCGGTTGGCAGCTCTGTTGCTGAGTGTATGCTCATGTTCAAGGGCTCTAAACGAGAACATCAGTTGCCATTACAGATACCCTTTATATATAAACTTACAGAATAATACCAGCCTGGGCCATTGATAAGAATTCTTTCGCTCGTTCAATCTGTTCAGCATGCTTGGCACACTTCCCTTTACCAAATGCAAATCTAACTTGACCCAATCTGCGTCCGCTTTTTGTCTTCCTCTCGATGAATTCGGTCAGGTTCGACAGTGTTTCGTTACCAAACTTGAGAGCAAGTTGAACATAAGAGCTTTGTTGCGTGGGTATGCCAGATTCTTCGAGATTTGAAAGTGCTTCTCGAAAAGTCTCATTGGTTCCCTCGTATAATCTTATCTCTCTTTGCAATCCCCGCATATCATCGGGAGCATCGTCAATATCGTCGATTAGTGTCCGTACATAGCTGCAGCCTTGTGCGATCTGGCCTGCTAGGCCGATGAATGCAATAATGGAAGCACCTAAACTGATAGCCTCAGCCATTGGAAAAAGGATTTCTATGAAGCTTTTGTGTCGTGAAAATGGGAACTCTGAATTGAATAGTAAGTCAAGAAAGGAGCAGAAGAGGGGAAGAAAATCACGATAGATTTTGACAGTTATCGTGCTTAGCCACCGCGGCAAGGCTGCTGGCTTGCATTTCGTACAACAAGTCCGAAAAGTATGCCGGTTGCATCCGATCTTCTCGTGGTTCGACAGATTTTTACCGGCTGCTTTATGGCTGCCTTACAATGTCTTGGAAAGAGCTTAGATTTGCATTGAAATTGCTAGAGAACCACGGATCTGTAAAGTCCATTCCAAACCCTTCAAGCTTTTTCGTGTAGCAGCTGGAATGGCTCACGTGTGGCAAAGCTATTTAAACTTGTTGTAATGAGCAATGGAACGGGTACAGAAGTATGTGGTATTAAGCCTGGCTTACTGGCATCGTTCTCAGCTCCATGTCTAGCGACCTTGGGGCTGGTTCGACTCCTTCTCGACATATATATTAGATCTTAAGCGAGCAAGAAGCGAAGGAGAAAGGGGGGCTATTTTCGACAGACTTGGCGCTTAGGAATGTAAAGTTGGCTTGGGGTAAGACTAGATAAAAATTCACAAGCTACACAAGCAAACTGGTGGGAATATATGCCGTCCTGGAGGTAAAGATACATTTAGAGCTCTGTGGTAACACTTGAGATACCTATCATGTCACGTTTTCGGAGATATAACACATGTATTACCTCTCCCTACGCAGCCCCGTCGTGCAGAATTACTGTCCACCGTGAACAAGATTGAAATAAATTTTGATTGGCTAGAATAGGCTTTGTTAGGGCAAAGAAAGTGTACCCGCTTTGCATGAAATAACCTTATGTTTAGGGGGGGGAGAGTTGAGTCTAAAGAAGCGTAATTATGTTTCAGAATTCAGGCAGAGGATTTGAAACTCAAAATAACATGATCCATCAAGAAAGTCGTTTAGAAATACTTCTACCACTCTTTATTCTATTTATGGGCAAGCTTATCGTGGGGTTCTCAGCGTATGGGAACTTTCAACTTCAGCCCCTTCTTTAATTGGCCCTCGTAGACAGGCAAGCACGTGGGATGCAGCGGTTCACGAAAACAGTCGAGAAATAGGAAGTCCCATAAACTCAAGTATCCGGGTCTTTTAGTGCAACCGAGCTAACCTTTGAGCTTTTAGTGGGTACAATAAGTAATTATGGTTTACCGTGTAGATATAATCCATGATTGGATGTCACGAGTCCTTGCATTCCATGCTACCGGAACATAATGCTGGGACGAAGAGGAATGTGTAAAGTGATATTTTAGAGTTCAAAATCTGTGTCGGTAGCGAAAACCCAATTGTCAACCAGTAAGACTGAAACACACAGAGGCTCTCTAAACTACACTCCCCCCTCCAAAACAAATATTTATGCTTCTGGTGGCAGCACATACAAAAAATTAACTTTTGAACCAGGGAAGAGAGCATTACCTACCATGGAACAAGAGTTCTTGACAACTTGTTAGTAATGCTATAGCTTTGTTTTATCCAATGCAAATTTTGAGATGGCTGGTCCGATTGTCGTATGATGTGCTGACGCAAACGTAGACGTAGGGAATGGCTGACTTGTCAACTGCGGACACGCAGTCAAAATAAAAATTATCTTTTCTTGTTATCGTGATTCACGCCCACCCCTTTTTAAAATGTAAGCGAATCGGCGAGGCACCCTCGTCAGATGATTTATTCTACGAGTAACAGTTCATAGAAGAAACGCCAGTCCACCTCAATCGCCTTTTTCAATTTACACGAAAGTCAGGTGGTGAGGAGGTTGGAACCTCAACCAAAGCCAGCATCCCCCTTCATATTCTTAGGCGCATCCAAAAATGCTGAAAAACACGTCGCAAGCGAGAACCACGCCAAGTGCAGTAAACCATGACGATGGGTTGGTACTGTAGCACCCTATATTTCTCTCAAGTGAAATCAAGGTTAGTTTGATCGGAAGAAGAGGCCTAGACTCTCGGAAAGTTAAAGTTGACGACCACTTCAAGATCAAGCAAGTTACTTTCTACACTACATACTAACAGTGCAACGGCTATAACTCCTCGAAGTATGTCCCACCAGTCATCTAAGGAAATCGTACACGACGATTATATTGAAGTCAGTCAATACTGCCTCTGCAGGCAGGTGATAAGTATTCGCTTGAAGTGAAGTGTTACGGTGGAAAACTGGATTAGGAAAGCGAATATGACACGTATGGGGGATATGGTGAAAAGGCACATCGTGGATATTAGTTGGTACGAGTGATAATCGAGATAAAACTGATGCTGACATGTAATTACCGGTAGCGAGATGCTTCAGCGAGGAAGGATGCATTGTTACAAACCCAAAAGTTCACTTTCAAAGATTAAATCATCGTCCGGAACTTGGCGCCTGTCCCGTTCTTTACGTACTGCATGGGAGATAAGATGGAGTTAATTGTAACACTCCGACTGGTGTACATCATATCAAGAATTATTTGAAATGTCAACTGGTACGGCTCCCTCTTGGTGCCAGCGACTGGCGAGACATCCGAGTGGGTTCAAGCTACAGAACTCTCCCGCTGCCGATCTCACAACATAGATGTAATCGCTTCAGGGGTTGTCCGTACAGCATTACACCACGCAAGGGCTGCAAAATTCATGACTGAGACTTGTATTCCATTGAGTGAACCTTAGGATAATTTAATAAATTAATTCGCTTGTGTACAATTGCGGGAAAATTGCAGAAATAGATACAATGTTTTCTGTTTCCAAAATTCCTAGACCACCGCGCATGCTTTCTCTTCTGTGTCCAATCAACAGGCCCTGTACGCACGTCAGCTAAAATAAAACCTATCGGGCAGCTGCACCATCAGATGAACCCTACCGATCATCCCTAAAAATAAGGCGACCTTCCCCAACGACGAGAAAGAGCAGATACTCACACGGACTTCCGTCATCTTCCCCCTACGGGTCTGTTTTTTTCGAACAATTACGCGTTCACAGTAGTATCGATAGCTTGGAATGATGTCGACGGCGGGGAAAATGCACTTGCTCCCTTGGCAAGGGATTAGTGCACAATCTACTATCAGCCTTCCCCCTTTTCGTCCATGCCTTATCCACACCACTCAAGCCAATCATCCACATCGAATATCTAATATGGGTTTGCCCTTCGCCCACCGGCCGATGCTGACACGTGGATCCTTTCCGTGGAAGGGAGTTGTCTGACAGTCTGAAAAAAAAAAAGGCTGAACTCGTCCCTGGGCGTTGTGAGCAAATCAACGAGCCTGTACCCATGCACGAAGTTGTGGTGGAGGCTTAGACAAGGAGGTAGTTGTCTTCCGCGTACCTCCTTGCAAGTTGAACCCCATCCACCTTTCCTCATTGTCATATTGCAAAATAATATAAGTTGGGCGTTTCTCTTTGGTTCATTCCCTTTCCGTATTTGTTCATTAAGCCAACCGAGGTAGGGCGGTTCTGAGTTTTGCGTCATTGATTCACCATTCTGTTACCAAGTAAGATCTTACTCAAGTAGTACATACCTCCAGCTTCAGCTCGTAAACTATATCTCCAAGCAATTCAATCATTCGCAGGATTCGAAGATTGAAGGAAGTAACTCATCAATATAGTAGTATCAACAACAAGATATCTACAAGATGAGATTCGATCAGTCCTTCGGCCTCGCGGCTGCAACATTCGGTTCGTCCCCATATATTTACTGCTTTCCACTACATCTCCACTTTCCCCGGATTTTCACCAGGTATTGACTTTGACCCACAAGCTCCACTCACATCTGCACTCGCAACATTCAGTCCTTCATCAAATGGACCGAGTTACAGTGTGGGAATTCCCTCGAACTCGGCAATATCCACCACCTCTCAGGGAGGAATATACTTCTCCCTCTCTGCCCCAACTTCATATAGTTGGGTAGGATTGGGAATAGGAGAACAGATGGCTGGTGCGAGCATTTTTGTGATGTATGCGGATGGTAATAACAATGTCACAATAAGTGGAAGGGCAGGAAAGGGACACGTCCAGCCTCAGGTGGATAATACACTACAGGGTGGTCTCACACTTTTGGAGGGAAGTGGAATCGTTAACGGAAAAATGGTAGCAAATGTTCATTGTGAGATCACCCTTCCCAAAACCCTAATAGTTTGGAAAGCAGTCCAACATGACTAACAAAAACTCAGGTACAACTTGTCGACTATCATCAGACCGCACTTCAACTTCGTCTCCCTGGATTGCTGCATGGAGCCAAGGAGCAGCGTTAAACACGAAGTCCCCCTCAGCAACGATAAATCAGCATTCTGCATATCAGCAACTTACTCTCGACCTCACCCAAGCAACTATGAATACTGACAGCAATCCTTTTGTTGGTGCTGCTGCTGCAGCTGCTTCTGGAACTTCTACCTCTGGTGAAGATAACACCAATAGGGGACGACCCGGCTCAGGAGGGCCTGGGTCGGATGATAACAGATCAGGTGTTGTCCCAAGTCCAAATTCTGGTGCAACCGTCGTTGGTCAGGGTGCCGCCAGAAAAGCCCAAGACCGACAAAAAGCACATGGTATTCTCATGGGCGTGGCAGTGGTGATCTTGTTTCCTCTTGGGGCAATATTCATGAGATTGGGAGTAAATCCATGGATACATGCCGGCATTCAACTTGTCAGCTATACTCTGATGATCGCTGGCATGGCAATTGGAATCATCTTTGTGAATGATGTTCCTTTCCTGGTAAATATAATCCATCTTTTACTTCACAAGCACAAAACTAACCAAATCACAGACTTTCAAAGTGACCCACTTTGCATTTGGACTTGCGATCGTTGCTCTCCTTTTCCTCCAACCATTCTTCGGTCTTGCGCATCACTTCTTGTATGTGAGACGCCAGAGTCGAACTCCCATTTCGTATGTACACATTTGGTACGGTCGCGCCTTGATGCTTCTGGCTGTTATAAATGGAGGTCTTGGCTTGAAACTGGCAAACAACTCAAGAGGAGGAAAGATTGCTTATGGTGTTGTGGCTGGTATTATGGGCGTTGCCTACATCGCTGTTGTTATTCTCAAGAGGAAAGGTAGCGCTCCCCGAAACGCCATCAAGCACGAACGTACAAGAGATTCAGCAAGTTAAAAAGGAATTGAGCGGGTAAGAGGCATTCTTCGAACCGGTGTTTGGAAACTTATGAGGGAAATTTTCATTTTGGATACCTGGCACTTGCTTCGTCGCGTCCAGGTTTGACGTGATTTTGAAAAATCTTTTAGCCAGCTTGTTTTGAATATTTTCTGTTGTTTTGTGGCACATGATACAAATACATATTTTTTCGTGCTATCTCTCCGTGTCTTCGTGTTTCAATGTTTGTACGATCCAAGCAATAAGATTCACTCGGCTTGGTTTATCTCGGATTACTAATAGGAAGGAACTCAATAGCTGTTTAAGAATATCTCCCAGGAACTTCAGCCAGACTCAATGCCATAAAGTATTATTCCTATTGAAGTCACTGTCTTGCAGGAACATTAAGAAACTGATTAGTTTTGTTTGCTCGCAAGTTTTAATCTAGGCATCGTAAAACATTGCCGCTTACGGCATCCCGAATCTACTACTAAACCAGATGACTAAATCGAAAATCTTAAAAGTTATTTTTAAGGTTATTTTGTAGGAAATCATAAGTCGTATATTGTAAAGTGGCTTAGGGTTAGGGTTATAGCGCTAGAATTAAAGGTAAAACTACTCGAATACTCCTGCCCTTGAATATAACTTGAACGCTCCTTTAACTCTAACCCCCTTATTATATACCCCCGCTCTAGTAGCTAGAGGTTTTGTTGTAACGTAACCCCCTACTACCCGGCAAACAACCCCCCCTATCCCTTCTTATTATCGCTATTACTGTCGCTATCGTTGTCGTAAAAAGTTATTGTAAAGAGTTATCGTAAAGAGTTGTCGTAAAGAGTTATCGTAAAGAAAGAGGAGAGAAATTAGGAGGGGAGAGAGGACAGGCAAGTAGCAAACAATTACTAGCACAACACGTGTTAGCCTAGCCGTTTTAGGAAGGTAGTATTCGCGGCTAGGGATAAGCGACACGCACGAAAATATTTCCCCGCATCTGTCCCCTCCGCTACCCTCTCTCTCTCTCTTAAATAGCATACTAGTGCACAACCCCTATGCGACAGTGGGTATAGGTGACAGCCGGGGGGGTTGGGGTGCGACAGCGAGGGCGCGACAGTGAGGGTGGCGAGTGTACACGTGAAAATTTCAAGGCTACCAAGTTTGAGCGAGGGTGGGGATGTGGGGGTATAGGCACTCTGCTATGGTAGTAGTAAATATATGACTTTTGAGATTTGCGATTTGCGATTAAGTCATCTGGTTTAGCGGTAGATTCGGGATGCCGTACCGCTACACGTAGGGGCTTGTAAATCCTCTCGATGCCACCCTTGATTGTTCGGTGGGAAGTATTGAGAAGTTCAGGCCCTGCTTACATCTTACAACGAGCAGGTATCTGTTCCCCGATAAGTACCTGATGAGAGTTTAGATATACAAGAACTCGGGTTAATGGCAAAATTAGGTAATCCAAAGTATATGACGAGTAAAATTTCCCATATGATACAATCAATGATACTGGATATATTCTGGGTATAGCACAAGAAGTGGAGGTAAGCCCGTGTTATAGTGGGCCTTGTACTAAATTCCACCATTTTTCAAAAAAGGTAATTAATAGCGAGGAATCTTGTTGCGTTTCAGGTCTGCAAATATCACAAAGAGAACATACAACCAAAACAAACTAGAAACACCCTAAAGACACTGTGATAGATGGTTCTGAACTTGTGATACTTGAATAATAGTATAAATACTCAGAATCACAACTCACTGCCCAAACGATCTCTACCAATTCTAACTTCGATCAATATTTTCACTTTCCAATAAACATCTCAATTTCACATGACTTTTGAAGCAATCCCTACCACAACCAGCAAAATGCAACTCCCACAATACATTCTCGTAACACTTGCTCTTGCTCTCCCTTTAGCATCTGCCTTTGGCGGAAAAGCCACATTTTACGAACCCAATAGCCTCGGTTCTTGTGGTCAACAACTCACAGTAAGCTCTGCTTCCCTCTCCCAGATTTCCATGAATTAAAAGATCCAGGCCGATTCTGGAACCGTCGCTCTATCACGAAGCCACGATGGGAACTGCGGCCGCACTGTTCCTGTTACCTCCAATGGCCGTAGTGTGACTGCAAAGGTCGCAGATGCATGCTCAGGCTGCGGAACTGATGGTATTGACTTGACGAAATCAAAATTCTTGGAATTGGGAGGGAATGTGGGGACTGCAAGTCTTAGTGTTTCTTGGTAAGTTACAATACGTCAAGGTTCGTAAGTGGTTCTCCTCTGATATAAATTTAGGGACTTCGTTTAGAAATACGACAAAGATTAGAGAAAGTAATGAGCTGGGAGACTGATGGTCCTGGTGACCATCTGGATTAGAATTCTTAAAAGATTGAACTTGCTTCAATATGACAGTAGTGTAGTCTTTGGGGTTGATGTACCCAAGTATGCTTATGCAATAGGGAGAAAAACTATTTATTACTTCGTCCAATCACCCTTCGCAATTTCTTCAAACAAGCGAAACGAAAAAAACCTCCCCTCTCATGAGACCCTGAGCCTCCTCGAATCCTCGATGGCTTTTTTGTTCACCGCGGTACCTAGATACTATTACCTTGGGTATTTGATTTTATTATCATTAGGTAGGTACCTAGAAATAACTTTATTATAGAGCGTAGATGACGTCCTGAACTTTCGGGTTAAAATTTAAAGGTAGGATTTGGAGACAGCAAGCCCCATAACAATTTATGTGTCCTCGCTCGAGGTTGTGGCTAACGCAACCTCATATTTGCACGTCACCCCCGCCAACACCCACTCGCACATGAGAAATGATAAGACCATTTGGCAAGGTACGAATGTAATCTCTCGAACGAGTTTACTGCGCAAAGCCGCATATGCATACGAGTATATGTTATTGCAATCTTGGTTATGCCTCCCCTCACCAACCAGCCTCCCGCGATCACTTTTCGACTGTGAAAAAAAGTATAAATGGGAGGGCCAGGGCGAAGGGGGGGGGGGTTATACCCTTGGACCATGGTGGTCGTGCCTTCTCTCTGTGTGCTATCTGGTCTCAGCGTTATGTCTAAGGTACCTAGTCGATTAGGTAAAAAGTGAGACGACAAGTTGAGGAAGGAGCAGGTCAGTGAGAACAGAGATCTCCTCGAGGCTTGAGCTCCAGTCGGGTCCCCTATTGGGTTCGGCTCTTGAACCCAATTGCAACCTCGTGATTCTTCAGGTCGACTCAGACCAGGAAATGATGGAGCGAGTTCACGACCTCAACCTCTCAGGCTGACCCCGGTTTCGAGGCTCGACCTGCGGATCCCAGCACATCCAATGGGAATAAACATCTAGGTAGATATCTACCTATCACCTACCCGGAGACATGTGTAATACAAAACGGGGCAGGTAGGAAGGCTGCTACCTATGGACAACCAAGGGAGCTTACCATTTTGTTTTGGAGACACCAACACTCAGTGCTTAGATAGGTACACATTCGAAGCAGTAACCATTCATAAACTGCTTTATTTAGTTGTAGTTTACAATCCTAGGTAGGAACCAAGGTTGCATCCAGTTGTGTGTCTTTTCTCAGCCTCGACAGACTATCCCCCTTTCTTTAAGATGCATAACAAGTAGTGGGATTATTTATCACTAGTTTCTCGGATAACTCTCTTTGGTTAGCACATCCCTGATCTGTCTTATCTGTATTACAATCTGAAAGTTGAGACTAGTGAAAATATATTTTGTGCAGTTGCGATTAGCCTGAGGTCTGCGTGGTTCCACAGCATCACTTAATGACATATTCTGCACCGCACCTCGTAAACGCTGACTCTTCGGATATTCAGATTTTGTGTAGAGTAACCATCCAATCAGAGCTTCAATATTTTGTTTTTCGCGGTTGAGCTGACTGTATCGTGTTCGGAGATTGCACTTTAAACAATTCTCGCTTGAGGGCTTTCGCGTAAAAAAGCTAAAGAAACGAGTTAAAAGCATCAAACTCCACAGTTGACAAGTAAAATTCAAGAGCGCTTCCGTCAGACAACCAATTTTCCATTCATATATCTCATCAAGAGAAACTAAAAGCAAATTCCTATATCAAACACCAAGCCAATTACTCCATTTCCTATTGGCCAGCAAACAGACTTCCCAACCCAAAATACCCACAAAGGAATACACATCCTCTTATCCAAGCAAGTGGTGTCACTCTCAGCCTCTACAAGAAGTGAGGGTTTGAACCATGATAATGGTTATTAGTTTCAAAACATGTCTAGCATTTGCTGTTCTATAGGAACGATGTTAGAATACGCTTTCCAAGTAGGGGATAAGCAAGCGAGACTTACGCAGATCTTTAGGCACTTTGTTTGTGCAAGAGCAAGAATGGTGGAGTTGCAAGCAATAGCACACTGAGAATTAAGAAGTCAGAAGAGATTTGGGGAGGTTGGGGATTGGAAGATGACTTACTGCTCCCTTGCAGATAGTGGAGCCAATAGAACGCTCAGCGTGTGCTACTCCAAGAGCTTTGGCCTCTGCAATTTCACGAGCAGAGAGAGAAGACTCGGAAGAGTATGGAGCTGCAGCGGCGGCAGTAGCGAAGATGGCGGTAATGATGGTGAAGAATTGCATATTGAATGATTTTCTTTGAGGTGATGGAAGGTGTTTTGCTGGTAATGTAAAAGGGAAAAAAGCAAGAATAAAAGAGATAGAGGATAATCGATGTCAATGAAGAAGCTGGGAGAAGAATCTGGGAGAAGAAGCTGGATAATGAAGAAGATGAAGATGAAGATTAAGATGAGAATGATTTGAAAATGGAGGATTAAAGGACTGTCTATATAGTTATCTCAAAGTATAGAAAGTGGTGTGTTTACTGGGTCTTTGACATCCCATTTCTTGGATAAGCACTGAACGAGCGCGGTACACAAACTGATCGAATTGTTATCTCCATACGCGCGTTTCAACAACCCAATCTGGAAAAACCATACTCCATTTGAAAACCAGGACCCGGTGGAAGTTCCCGATGAAGTCTTGCTTTGACATGAAATATTTAGCGAGGAACTCCCATAGTGGGCAAGTGAGGGAGGGGGTGGCAAATCCGAGCTCTCTACGGAGTGTCAAAGACCAGTGCCAGGTATCAGAGCAATAAGTGAACGGTGAGTGATGATGATGATGAAACCCTCAGTTGAAGCTCGGTCAAGAAAATAGTGAGTTTACCCGGAGCTGATTGGGGGGAGTTGCAAGGTTCAGTTGGAATTGGTCAGTGTTGTCGCTTCTCCTTTCGCTTCCAGGAAATCCGAAGTGGATTAGTTACGAAGGAAGTCAAATATATCCTTGCCCAAGATAATTTAAGGAAGTTCACTCTGTACGCATGGATATTTCAACGACCCATTCAATCCTCAAAGTACACAAACCCACTGTTGCGCTCCATGCTTACTGGCAAGAATGAGGGCCGTGTTTGCACTACACTTACGATGGAACTTTCACCTAGAAACCCCAACATCATTTTCATAAACCCCCAAAACTCCAAATGTGATAACCGTAAGATATTATCACAGACATGCAATTGAAGAGTAGTATACATTTGAATAACCATCTGACTTGAACACTTACTTAAACTCAACCATTGAAGATAAAACCAGAGCCAACAAGATCTCTAAAAATAAACATCCAAAGCCTCCTATCGGGTTCAACGTATCCGATAGAGTCCATTGATAGGGTACCAAATGTTTCGCAGCATCTATCAACTGAAACGCAGTGCCAGCAGACTGGTAGACTGTGGAGATCCAAATGCAAAGGCTCATCCTCGGTTTTCAAAGAGACTGGTGGAAAGTTCCATACACAACAATGGGAGTCCGTTGCATGAATCCCAACGCTGAGGCTGAAAGGCCACGGACTAAGATGAGGATCTTGCAGATGATAAAGTGGAGTCGGTGTACTGAAAGGGGGAAGGTCGCTTACCCATTAAGCTTTACAATGGCTCAATGGGGAATTCTCGCGGAGGATTCACTCGGTAGGACCCACTTGCCAGAAGAGACTCAAGCTTTTCGAAGATCTTACAAGCTTCCCCGCGCGCCCTGAAGGCCTAGCTTCAAGATAAACAACCCCCTCCTCAATCTACAACAAACGGATGTTACGGTGGGCTGAGGACTTCTGGAAACAGGACCGTGAGCGTCGCTTTGTTGATAACCATGTCTTTGACATCGAATGACAAGTCGACGACATACTTGACATATGTTGGTGCGGAAAAATAGAAATTGCGAGCAAATAAAGCGAGGTTACAATGGACTGAGCCCTCGTGGGGTGCGTTACATTGTCACATTTCGCTTGAACCGAACTGGTCCAAACAGACGCCATGAAGAAATACCAAGGGGTGGCGAACTGTTGAAGTGTAACTACTGCACCTCACCTCCTCTTGCAATATACTCTTGACAGAAAAGGTTCATGAAGATATTCGGGGTAGCGAGAGTTCTACTACTCCTGCGCGGTGATTGTCCTCCGTCTGGAAGGTACTTGCCAATACCCTCAACTTGGTACGGTATAGTGGATTTATGTTTGGAGAATCCGTGATATGTTCACCGCCAAGGGCAAGAAGATCTCCCCCGAAGAAGAGACGGTTGGTCGGTGCTTTTGAAGATCCACCTCGTCTCTCATCGACGACCCTCGAGACGGAGATCACGGAATTCAGCGTGGTCTGTTCCACTGATTTGGATTGTTTTCGGTCAAAGACCAGAAAGTTGTAACGAAGAGAGTATGATTCATAGTGAAATTACTAAATCTTGAGGTTCTTTATGAACAACTGATGTCAAAATGGAGTCCCTGAAAGACATTTTTCATAAAAACACCAGATATCGTGCATGAGTATAGATGCTCGAGTTTCCAAGTATTCCATTCATTCTCTTGACGTGCTTACCAGCTACGGAGTTCGAAATCTCAAGTTCGGAGTAAACATTTCCGTTTAATATCACGATAGATTAAATCGATTCTGGGGCGTGGCCAGATGTTTGGCCAGGAGGTAACTAATCGTCCCAAAGAAACAAGCATCGTGAAGTTTTCGGTAAACAGGGTGTCCAGCCAGAGCCCCATGAGTCTAAGTGCCTGAGACGAGGGGCATAGAACTACCCATGGTCCATGGTAGGGACCTGTGAAACTAATCCCTGACGAATCCACTTTGGACCTCATATCGCAAAGAGGGTCTATCAACCTGGATGGATTCTCAAGATCATTCAGTATTTCGATAGAAGTCGAGTTTGTATAAATCCAGCCTCTTCACCCTCTGTAAATAACATTCTCATCATCATTCAGCTTCTTCAACAATCTTCACTTCCTTTCTATTCATACTCAATTTACTTTTCACTTCATCTCACTTTCTTGCCTCTCTAATCCATCATCTCTCTTTAAAAAAACCAACCACCACCACCAACAAACTCGCCAAAATGCAATTCTTCGCTACCGCCGCCCTTCTTTTTGTCGCTGTCTCAGCAGTTGCAATCCCACCACCAGCTCCATCCTCCACCCCCGCTCCCGACCCAGTTGCCATCGCAAAACAATACGCAGACTTCGACTTCACGCCAATGGCCAAAGCCATCGCTGAAGCCGACGACATTGCCATCGCCGAAGCAAAGGCTGGCAAAAAAGGAACTGCTATAATCAAGACCTCAGCCACCGAAGAAGAAGAAGATGCGACCTTTGACCAGTCTTCTGAGATCCAGGATCGCGACTTGACCAAGCGTGGTTGCTTCGGCCTCAGCCCTACTTCAAAGGTTGGAAAGATTTGCATTGAAGCCTGTGTAGCTACTTGCGTGAGTTCCCTCCATCTTATGAAATGTTTGGGCTGGACTAACAGGAATACAGACTCTTGCTTCAGCTGGTCTCGCTAGCACTCTTTGCTCCAAGGCTTGCAGCATCCAATTGTAGAGTAAGTTCCTTCCCCTTCAGGTCCCAAAAATAACCAATTAACGAAATGACAGAAATTGGAGCAGAAACGGAAGATTGAGTCTCCGCTTTTGGGCACCTCCCGGAGAGAGAATTGGTGGACGTGAAAACCAGAGAAGGGCGTTTAGAGCTGGCTTCGGAGTTTGATCGTGTTTTGTGTGATTCGATATCATGTTTTCCCTTTTTTCCTCTTTTTGCATTTCTAGAGCCGGGCTTGAAGTCTGCAAGGTTGAAGTTGTTAAATTTGTACTGTATATAGAAGCCAATGAAAAGTTCCTTCTCGGGATTTGTGTTTGGGTTTGATGTTGTGAATATCCGTGATCATCTTCCTCAATGCCTCCAATTTGCGATGCTGTCCAAGAGTATTTCATGTTACAGTAGGATATGGAATCCGCGCACCCAAATTCTATTAAGCGAGCTCCAAACTCCAACTAAGCGAGGGACAACAAAACATATCAGAAGCTAAGTTCTACCAAGAAGCACCAAGATTAGACTTTTAATATTGCAATATATCCCCCTATATCCCATACCAAGGAAAATCACGTGTAATTAGTCCTATTATCCCTTGCCACAAGTACTCGAACGCTTCCACTCCTTCAGCCTTCCTAATTAGACACAAATAGTAAACAACAGTTAGAACTCTTCGATTACTACTCTTTTAGGGATACATTTAAGTTAAGATTCCCACTCGTTACAACAATTACAGATCACAACAATCTACATCTCCTATACCTCCCCTCCCCAAGTCCCTCAAAATAGTTGATTCCACAACTTCCCAACTCTTACCGTACATCGCAAGAATCGACAAGTCTGACAGGACCTGTGAGTTCAGAATATCTCACTCGGTACAGGACTCCAGATACCGTAATTCAGCTTCCTGCGATTTGCAACTAAACATTCCATAGCAGTATTACTTGCGAAACATCCTATAGCAGTATTACCCGATTCTCCAACATCCACAAGCAAGACAACTATCCGAGGCACCACTCTCAAACATCGAACTCTCATAGCAACCAACACAAGCCCCAGCCAAAGATGTAGTACTTCCACAGCACTCCTTATAACCCCAATCCGTTTTCCCAAACAACCGCCAACAGATGATCTACCCACCACCCACCGCTCCAACATCCCCGTGTCACTTCATTAAAATTCATAGAGCATTCTTCCACATTCCGCCTAAGTGGCAGTCCAAAAAGAGAGCAACAGATAGAAATATAAATGCAGTCAATTAAGTAAGAAACAAACACAAAGAACCATCCCATCCCTCACAATCCCCAAAAGGCGTTCATTCCAGTTTTCCAAACCCCTCAGAAGCTCAAGCTCTCAACGGTGACAATCCATACCCTTTTTAACTTTCACGCTACCACGGAATACTAGAATCCGGTAAAGAAACAGGCTGTGAGACCTACGACTAACGATCTGTAGATTTCATAGTACAATCGATCCTTCTTATCGATCCTTCTTGTCGCTTCCCTTCGATTCCCAGATGCCAGCCACATGATTGCAGCATTTAGCATCTAACCAGCGCGTGTTGACAGCGTGTTCTTCGATTCGCTCTACATATAATGTATAAAGACTAACTCGCTCCTTCGCCGGAGAATCCACGTCTTTCCGCGCGAACATTAATCCTTTAAAGTCCTTGGATCTAGGAACGTGGTTTTATCATTTTATGTTTTTTTTTCATTCAAAAGTACATGAAATCAACTCCATCGGTAAGAATTTTTAAATCTATCAAGGACGTACGGTACTAACCGGAACTTCGGGTTGTGTTTTTCTGGGGTTGGGTCGTTTGTTTACGAGGTTATCTGGGTCCTCGAAATGACGGGATCATTATGAAAACCCGGATCGATTTGTTGGTTTGTTAATTAATCACTAGCTTTCTATTTGCTTTGCTTCTGTGATGGCCAAGCACTTGATGAACTCATTCAGAGGACCGAATATATAAAAGGTAGAGAATTGGCGCCCGATAGGAGAAGGAGAGACGGATAGTCAGTGATGAGTTTTCTGGTTTTGGCAAGATCCACCATCCAATTTTTAGGCTATGTGAAATATTGCTCGAGGAGGGAGATGTGTATTTTACTGTGTTGGGAATAACTCAGCTGGTGAGGTTTTGAGATGGCCTTTGTCAGTCCTGATGTCTGGATTATAAGAGACTATAAAGCCGCGACCTACACATGGATGGGCCTCCACGATAATTAAACAAGTCAAATTCTTACACGGTACCATAAAAATCACAAACCCTACTGCGGCTCCTCATCCTTCCACTTCTCCATCACAGCCCCAACATCAACCCCACACAACTCCGCCCTCTTCAGAATCGCTCTCGCCTTCCCCACCACCGGGGCATCAATCATCTTCCCATCCATCGTCCACGCCCCCCGTTCTCTCTCCTCCGCCTTCCCATTCCCGATACTAATCCTCACAGCCCAATCCAGCTCCTCACCCCCCGGTGAGAAACTCCTCTGCGCAACCTCAATCTGCGAGGGATGAATAAGCTGTTTCCCATTAAACCCCATTCCCTTGCCTTGTTCACACTCCTCCCTCAGCGTCTCCAGTCCCTCCTCACCGCGGAACTTCGTACAGACAAGGTCAATCGTCGAAGGGAGGTTAAACGCGCGCGCCGCAGTCACAATCGCACTCCGCGCATAGAGAAACTCCGTCAGCGAGGGCGTCCGCGTGATGGAGAGATCCATCGCGAAATCCTCCGCCGCAAATACCAGACCCGAGATATACGGACTGGCCTGACAGATCTCCTTCAGATTCATGATCCCCTCCGCCGTCTCGATCAGCGCGATGATCTTCACGGGATTCGACGTCGCATCCGGGGTCGACGGATGGCGAGCTGGTAACTGATGTCGCAAGACATCGTTGATGAAGTGTAGATCCGACGCTTTGGAGATCTTGGGCACGGCGAGTGCGTCGATGTGTGTAGATGCGAGAACGCTGGTTAGGTCGTCTAATGCGAGGCCGGTGGAAACGGCGTTTATTCGCACGGCGAGCTCGGTGATGTTGGGTGGGCGGGATTGCGAGAGGAAGGATTGGAGGTTGGTGCGTGCTTGGGGTTTTTGCGAGGTGGTGACGCTGTCTTCGAGGTCGTAGACTACGGTGTCTACGGTGAGGGCGTGCGATTTCTGGAGGAATTTCGGGGACGAGGAGGGGACTGGGGGTTGTTAGTGGTGGGGAGTTGCATTGGATGGATGGAGGGGAGGACCATAGAGGAAAGCACGTCGGAGGATGTTGGAGGTGGCCATTTTGTAGGAGGGGCTAGCAATTGGTTTGTTGAGAATTGTCCATGTCAATTGGATTCTGGTAATCCATTGCAATGTTGAATTATCTATCTATGTATAAACAAGGGACGTTCGAGCCCCATGACGATGCTCCCCCACGTTGTCTGGAGCTCCAGGGCTCCCACACTGTGTGGGGCTTCCCGTCGTGCATGGTCCAAAAACCTTAAGTCCGATATAACTTCATTGGCGATGGGACTTGAAGAGAAAAGATCAAGGATTTCCACCTTTGCAAGAAACTTGTGTATAGGATGATGAGTAATGGAACCTACTCTTAAGTCTAGCATCAGGGTTATCAATCAATTCCTGCCCAAAAACTAACTTCAAAAAAGCGAACTGAAAAATATATCACTCACAACCCCTGACTAGTCAAGTACAAGTAGAGCGATTTCCTTGCAGACCAAGCGAGCCAACTTGTGACTCGTCGACCTCGTCAATGTATATAAAATCGCGTACTGGTACTGTAGCAATAAATCAACCCCGCTTGTCAAAACAAAACAATTCCAACCCAGCAAAACTTCCACGCCTCAAAATCCTCCATTCTTACTCCAAAGATATGCAAGAAATCCTTGAACTCTCAGGACCTCCCGCTACCGCACCACCTCATTGAAAGGCATACAAAAGCCCATCCGTTCTTCCAAAACAAGTTGAAAAGACCCCCAAATATCCCGGATCAAATTCCCAGCACCATGAATCTTCCTCGTGATGACAAGTGTATCCTCGGGCTAGTCCTAGTATATTTCACAGAAACGGGGTTTATTGGAGTTTCTGCGAGATTCTGAGACTGTTCATTGGTGCGTTGTGAATCGAACTTATGGTAGGGGTGAGAGTGGCGAAGAAACTGGGATTTGGATGGGATGGCGACGACATAGAGTAGCATGGAGGGGAGTAATTATTGGAATTGGTTGTTGCTGTTGTGACTTTTGGGGAAGTATTCATTAGAAGCTTAATACTACTGTGGGGCCGTGGATCGAGGTGCGGTGTTGTGACTTATTGGGGCTTGTTTGTATTCTGCGAAAGATTGGGGATAATGGGGGTGGAAAGATTGGATGGTGAAGAAATGAAAGTAAAGAAATTTTAATTCTTGAGGAGTTTCTTGGTGAGAAGTAGATAAATTCTGATAGGACAGTGAAAGGGAGAGAGATGTAACATCGACCTGAAATTCTTGGAGATCAAGTTTTGAGTTGGACGGCACCATGACACTTACTGGAACCCATAATCTGGGATTACAATGTGGCTCTCTTCCAAATGAAGAAGGGATATTTGGAAGGGATTCGACAGTTTTGGTAGTCGTACATTGACGAGTCGTCGGAAGAATATGAGCGATCTTCTTCAAACATTTAAGTGAGTGACGTTTGATAGGGGTTGGAACACTTGTGTAGCCTTCAAGGATGTCGAGGCAGTCAGAAAGTAAATTTTATATGTCCTCAACCTTCTCGTTGCACATTTCCGGTAAAATGCTTGGGGTAAGGAGTGAGCACAAGGTTAAAAGTCCCCAATTCGAGGGAATGGAGATATTACTGAATACTTCATGAAGGCCAGTTGATGTCCTGGTTGAACAGAGTCCGAGTAGGAATACCTTTGATGTCTTGAGTACTAGAATATCATGAAATTACGAAAAGAGTGAGATCTTTTCTCTCCGCTTATAGATTATTCTCTCATCCTCGCGAAAAACTTCAGATGAGAGTCGAATTTTCGAGATAACAATGCTCTTGTAATCATGAGATATCGCTCAACCAAGGCAAACCAAGTTTTTTCATCTCAACTGCAAGTTGGAAGAGGTAATCCAAACTATCGAAAAGCACGTCAGTTTCAGACCTCCACGTTTGGGAAAAGAAAAGAAGAGGGTTAGTAAAATACCTCTCAGCCTGCGTCTTCGCCTTATGCACCGTCTCACCCCAAACATACACCCCATGTCTCCTAACAAGTACCGCGTAGGTGTCCGGATACTTGTCCATCGCCTCCTCCAGACTCTCGGTCAAATCTTCTTCATGGGGTGTATTCTCAATAACGGGAATACGTAAGGTATCATGATACCCTAAAGCACCCTGTTTCTGGAATCCCTTCCCAAAGCCTTTGATTTGCTCAATATTGTTGATCTCAAATAAATTCTTATTTTGAGATTGAGGTGAGTTTTCGAGCAAGAGCGTGATGAGAACGGCCCATTGGGAGTGGGTGTGGATGCAACAACCTGCTCCGCGTTTTGTAAAGGCGGCTAGGAAGAGGGGGGTGCATTGGGATGGTTTCAGAGAGGGGGGTGAGCGGAGGTAGATGCGACTTTTTGGGTCTGTTTGTTGAGCGAGGGAGAGGACGTAGATGTCTTCTGTTCGTGGGATGGCGAATTAGAATGTGTCTCTCGTCGCTTTCAAAATATGAAAATACCGGATTTCATGAGTTCTTTTTGAACACCTGACGGTGCGAGGTATACCAGGTCACTAAAATTTGTCAAGTGTTGAAAGTGAGATTAAGACTAAACTTACTCATCTCGAATACTGGTCCCTCCACCAGTGCCAGTAACCCATCCCAAAGTCCAAAACTTTCTGCATAGCTCTGGGATCAAATTTGCGGGGTGTTGACTGTCAGATGATCTGACGAGATGGTCATTATTATCTGTGGAGGCTTGAGCAGCCATATTGAGCGAATCTGGTTAGATTCAGATGTTGGAAGCGACGTGTCAAAATGTCTTAATATCGTGGACGATTTTTCGAGGCTTGGAGGGGTAGCTCCAGACTCAGTTTTCTTGAAGCCGAGGGGACCATTGAATTATCGGAGATAGTTTTCGCCGATAGGTGGGGCAAAACGGTGGTGGAGAGAGCTCTCAGACTCAGAGAGCGGATTCAATGGCATCATTCGAACCAAACTCTATTCGAGTGACATATCCTTAATAGATAATTTACGACCGCTGAATTTAGCTTGGTAAAGAAAATAAAGGGGCTTTGTGTTTGCAGCATCTTATCAGTCTTTGAATAGCTTCAATGTCCAACACTAAGTAAAGGCCAGCTGAGCATGAAGATGCAACTTATATGAAATCAATGCCGAGTGGTGTACATATTCTAATTCTACTCGCATATTGCCAAAATGAGCTTCCCGAGCTATCCGGACATGCCTTAGCTGCCGTCAAAGTGAGTTTATGGGGTTAGCTACCTATTGAAGATGTAGCCAGATTGCCCACAGAGGCTCAGGCTGTTGAAACAGAAGTTGTGCAATCATAATCAAAAAGCGGCACTGTTTCGCCTTCCTGATTAGGCTGTTGAATATTGGACCAACTCTCTGCTTTAATAGCCAATTGATTGTGGGGACTTCGCCGAGGTTGGAGGAAGTCTGAGAATAGACTCAACTGCCGTTGGAGTTCTTGTGTTGGGGGTAGGGAGAGTTTTGCATGGAGCTTGGTTGTCGTTGAGAATTCTGGAACATTCTTGTTGTGGAGCCGTTGATGCTGCAATTTGTAGATCATTAAATATCGAAATAGTAACTTACAAACTTACATTTAGGTAGCATTGAGCATGCATATCCTACGAGTACAGTACAGTATCAACTGGTTACTTGAGGACAACTAGCTAGTTGAGGCTCAGAGAACGGGATGGGTTAGTCTTGGTGCTAGAAGCTACAACAACTTGCGTCTACACTTTTTGGGGTATTTCTAGTGTCAAAGTTAGGGTCCAGTGCGTCATAGATAACCATAGAGATAACTGAAAACGAAAGAAATTTTATACACACATCTTTTCATTTACATAAAATTTGCCTGTAGGATTGAACCATTCTCAGAGACTGATACACAAAATTGAATGAAGTTTGTTATTGTCTGGAGAGAGAGAAGAGTATGGAGTACCAATGACAGTGGGAAGCACTCGGCTAAAAGCAGCAGTCCGATTTGATCGGCGTCACCAGGGTATCACAGACCACCTTTCACAGCTGTCCAAAACTTGAGGACAGGTTGTTAAGAAGCTTCTTCCCCACACCTACTTAACTAACGGCCTCTGCTTCAACATCCCACCTGAAGCTGATTGATCTGTTCCTACTTGTCATCTCCCACTTTGGCACTGGCTCTGGAAGCATCATTGAATTATTTTTGGAGTCTGTCTGCTTTCGCAACTCTCCTCTGACCGACGACTAATCCATCCGCCATCATGCGCTTCCACGCTGCGATCTCAGCAGCTGCTCTGCTGGCAGGATCTGTCCATGCAGATGCTCAGAAACCCTTGAGCGAGGCCAGCTCCTCTGTCTCAAGTGCGGCTGCTGATGCTTCACCCGCGCCTTCTTCTGCTTCTCCAGAGCTCCCAACCTTTACTGTAAGCCTACCAACATCTCAAAAGTTGGCTCTTCTTTTGCGCAAACACTCAATTCTAACGTTTTTTTCTGTAGCCAACCACTATCAAAGCACCTTTCCTCGAGCAGTTTACCGACGACTGGGAGACTCGATGGAAGCCAAGTCACGCCAAAAAGGACACCAAAGGCAGCGAGAAGGAAGATGAGGCCTGGAGTTACACTGGTACCTGGGCCGTCGAGGAGCCAAACATCTTCAAGGGTATGGAGGGCGACAAGGGTCTCGTCATGAAGGATGTTGCAGCTCACCACGCCATTTCCGCGAAATTCCCAAAGAAGATTGACAACAAGGGTAAAACACTTGTTGTTCAGTACGAGGTTAAGCTACAGGATGGAATCTCCTGCGGAGGAGCGTACATGAAGCTGTAAGTTTTGTGCGACTTTTCATTGGATCCGGTTTTCTGCCGACTTATTCGTTTTGCTATGGTCAAAACCATGACAATGCAATTGAACCTCATTCTAACATCAACTCAAACAGTTTGCGAGACAACAATGCTCTCCACCAGGATGAGTTCTCGAACGCATCTCCATATGTCATCATGTTTGGCCCTGACAAGTGTGGCTCTACCAACAAGGTTCACTTGATCATCAACCACAAGAACCCAAAGACCAAGGAATATGAGGAGAAGCACCTTACATCCCCACCACAAGCTCGAATTGTCAAGACCACTGAGTTGTACACTTTGATCATTCACCCAAACAACACCGCCATCATCAAGTTGAACAATGAGCAAGTTAAGGAGGCTAACCTTCTGGAGGTAAACAATTATCCCCAAGCAAATGAAGCAAAATCAATTCTAATAATTCACAACAGGATTTCGAGCCAGCATTCAACCCACCCAAGGAGATTGAGGATACAAAGGACACCAAGCCAGATACTTGGGTTGACGAGGCCCGTATTCCAGACGCAGAGGCCAAGAAGCCAGAAGATTGGGATGAGGATGCCCCATTTGAAATTGTTGACGAGACCGCTACTAAGCCCGAGGACTGGTTGGAGGACGAGCCATTGACTATCCCTGACCCAGAGTCTGCCATGCCAGCTGATTGGGATGAGGAGGAAGATGGTGATTGGGTCGCTCCAACCGTACCAAACCCCAAGTGTGACGATGTCTCTGGATGCGGTAAATGGGAGAAGCCAATGATCAAGAACCCAGCTTACAAGGGCAAATGGACCGCACCTTTCATTGACAACCCAGCATACAAGGGTGTCTGGGCTCCTCGCAAAATTGCTAACCCTGCCTATTTTGAGGAGAAGACCCCTTCCAACCTTGAGCCCATGGGTGCTGTAAGTAATGCCTGATTTTTAGTCCTTTGAATTCAAGACTGACGTATCCCCTAGATCGGTTTCGAACTCTGGACCATGGACAAGGATATCATGTTTGATAACATCTACATTGGTCACTCTGTTGAAGATGCCGCCAAGTTTGCTGACGAGACCTTCAACGAGAAGCACCCACTTGAGGAGCTTGCCGAACTCGCTTCCAAGCCAAAGGATGAGGACAAACCCAAGTCACCTTCTGACCTTGTTTTCTTGGATGACCCAGTCACTTACATCAGAGAGAAGCTCGACCTTTTCTTCACCATCGCACTTGACGATCCCGTCCAAGCTATCAAGTTCGTTCCTGAGGCCGCTGGTGGTCTTGCCGCCGCTTTCGTCACTTTGATCGCAATTATTGTTGGTATTGTTAGCATGGCCGGATCTTCGGCCCCACCAGCAGTCAAGAAGGCAGCTAAGGACGCAAAGAAGACTGCGGGTGATGCGAAGGACAAGGTTGCAGAGGCAGTTGCATCAGGAACTGAGCAAGCCAAGTCGGAAGTGAACAAGCGAACTACCAGAAGCACTTCGTAAATGTTTAGTAACCAAAGAAGAGAAAAAAAGGTCTACCTAAAGACATAATAGTCGATTTTTCGGAGAGCGGAAATGAATGATGGCTGTTTAGGCAAATGGGAGCTTTTTCTTATTTTTTTTTTTTGAACATTTTATGCATTCGCGCGCGCGTTTTCTCTTTTTTGTACTCATGATTGGTCTCTGATTTGTTGATCATGAAGTAGCAACGTAACCGACCTGTTTTTTGGCGGTTCATGTATTTTAGGCGCACAAAATAGTGAACACACATCTTGATCAAGTATATTTTTGTCTGTTTTTTTTAAACTCTTGTGATAGGTGAGGTGATTTCGTTTTGTGATTGTGGCTTTGTGTAGTGGATTGCTTTGCCAAGTCTCGCTTCTAATAGGTTTACAAGAGACTTTAGTTACTTGGTAGTCGAAAAGGTGGAGTGATGCAGCTAGATTGTGGGAACTGGGGTAGGATGGAATGTGTGGGTTGCTTGTAAGTTGTAAGTATTTCATGGAAAGGTTAAGTAGAGAAGCTACTTGAATTCTAGTATAAAAAAGATTTGGTCTTGCCTGATAAGTACAGATGATCCGTAGAGATCGATACGACGATATGAAATGATAGGTTTTGTGAAGAAAGCGCTTGAGGGGGTTTGGAGGACTTTGTTAGGTTGTAGTATAATGTCGCTTTGCGGTTTGGTGGACGGCTGGTGAGGGGTATGTAATATATGGGGATTTTTAGTTTTTGAGTTGGTTATTTGGAATCTGGATGGATGGTTTTGGTATGTTTTGTGTTTTTGGTTTTTGGTTTCTGTTGGAACTTGGGATTTATATAAGTTGGGTTGGTTGTATTATAAGTTTGTAATTTTTCTAATATGATTCTATGGAGACCTCGCTTAGCTTGGCTTGGCTTGGCTTACAAAGTTTAGTGGTTTGGTATGATATTATTGTTAGTAAATTGTGAGAGGGTATGAAGCTTTGGTGTTGGGGTATTTTTGGATCTTGGAAAGGGTTTAGTATTATCTAGGATTGTTACAGTACGACGGTGTGGTTGCAAACTATACTTTTGCACTGCCGTTTGTGGAGCTGTGTGGATTTCATTCCCAACACCAGAGCCTTGGTTCGTGGATTCTAATTAAGATTACCGTAATACTCTTATCTTGAGTCTTTCTATATAAAAATCCTTTTTGGAAACCTATCTGTCAACTTGGGGACATCCTGTGATCACTTTATCTTACCCTAACCTTCAGGTTTCTTTTGTGGTATTATATACGAATTAAAACAACAGTCTATTTGAAAGATGGCTCCAAGCAGCTTCTCAAATATCTCATCTACATAACTCTTGCAAGCACTGTAGTATCCGTCTTAACACAAGATGAAGCCAATGCTGCATGCGGAGGTGATCTGACTACCGTCATACTCCCAGATAATCCAGACTGAGGTAATTGTTTACCCGTAAGCTCTCTAACTAGAATTTAAAACAACAGCAAATTGACTTTTCCAAAACAAGAAACCTCCTCCGCCAGATAATTGCAAACCTCCATTCGGTAAAGCATACAAAGCTCCAAAAACCCAAGCAGACGGTTGTTGCAGGACAGGAGGCACGACCTTTGCATTTAATCCTGAACCGAAAGAGGGGAAATTGCTGTCCTGCTGGGAAAACATTCTCATGGGATCATAAATCGAGCCAGGGAGGTTGTTGTGATAAGGGACTTCCTTTTACTTGTGGTTGCGGATCTGGGTCTAAGACTGAGTGTCCTGAACCTACTAAGGTGTTATATAAGTTCGCATGTATTTTGTCTTACCCTTCCTTAGGGATTTTCTTCTCCGTTTTTTGGGATTCCACAACGAATATATCTTGCTGATACATAATAGGCCCTTCTTTTACCAACACTATCTACGAGTCCAACGGTGCAAAAGACAAAGTCCTCTACGGAATAAACACAGTTACACATTCGGCTCCCAACTCGCAACCCAGCCGGGAACAAACATCAAGCAATGCGTCGATTTGTGTGCCAAAAACCCACAGTGTGTTAGTATAACCTTTGCGTGACGCTTACTAGCCAAAAGTACACGTACCTTCTAAATAGAGAGGAAGCGGATATAGATAGTGCTGAACGTCTCCCAGCCGATAGGATAGCTATCGATACCTATCCTGCGCTCGGCACTAATGGTGATAAACGCCTGGAGGGCGGCAAAACATACGGACTTTTGGGGTGGAAAGTGGCTTACTAGTGGGGCTCAGTTGGACTATAAATATGTTCAGTCGGCACAGCAGTGTCTACAACTCTATAATACGAACCCGTAAGTTATAATTCTTTTAAGCACCCTCTATATATAAGACTTAATAATATATTTTATAAGTTTAAGACTAAGGTATTACGTTTTAGGGCTTGTCGTAGTACAAGATATACGTTTGAGGGGTCTTTCAAAGGATACTATGTTCTACGTAGTATAAGTACTAGACCTAAAAAGATACCTACTAGGTAAAACTTATTATATCTTATAGCTAGTAAGTTATAATATTCTAAAACTCTACTCCTCTTACTAAAACAAGACTCTATTATTAGATATAAAAGAGTACCAGAGGTATTATATCTAGTCTACTATTAGTAATACTATATCCTTAACTTATTACTACCCTATACTAATATACTAAAAGAAAGCTCTTATCTTAAATATTAACTAATAACCTATAACCCTCTAAGCTCCTACCAACTAAAAAATATACTCTAAAATATACTAGAAAATCTATCTAGACCTAGGATATAATAACGTCTAAATATATCCCATCTATCCGTAGACGAAAATACAGGTCCTTCTATAACAAATATATAAGAGAAAACTACTATTAAAGACTAATAAACAAGGTCTCTAATTTCAATACAGTAGTCTTAGTAAGATACTCTACTCGAACCTAAGTAATTAATCCTATATATTGTATTTCTTTCTTCCCCCCTAACCTCTATCAAAACCTACTTATCCCCCCCCCC